TACAGAAGGATATTATTTCAATCTGATAAAAGCCATCTACAACAAACCCATTGCCAATATCATATTAAATGGGGGGAAATGAAACTTTCCCTCTAAAATTAAGAACAAGAAAGCAATCATTTTTTATCACTTTCCTGGTTCAATCTTCTCTGGTCTCTGGTGAGGGACTGTTTATACAGTATCTTTAAATAGAAAGTTTAGCATAACTGTTAAATGCTGCTATGATACAATTAACAAAAGAAATTTTATTGTTTTTATAATGCTAGGATTTACATCTTGTTCTCTCCCTGAGTAGACATAAGCTATTTTATTTTCCTCAATTTTAAAACATTCAGTTATGCTGTTTTATATTTTTTGAAATCCATGGCAAAAGAAGTCATCATAACATATTCTAGAAAACATGAGCCAGTTCAGAAATACACACACACACACACACACACACACATATATATATATATATATATATATATATATATATATATATTTGTTTGCTTGCTTTGTCTTTTTGAGACAGCGTCTCACTATATAGTTCAGGCTGGCCTTGAACTTACTTTCTAGAACAGGCTGGCCTCAAACTCATAGCAATCCTCTTGTCTCAGTCTCCCAAGTTCTGGGATTATAGGAATATGCCACCATACCTGGAAAGAGGTATTTTTGTTGAATTCCCAGAGCATAGACTATGGTGATCATATTTCCCAGCAGTTGCATTGTGTTTATGTCTATGGCTTGCATGTCATTGCTAGCTTCTATAATTCACCACATTTGTTCAAAAAAGTTCTGTGTCAGCATTTCTGACATAATACAACATTTCAGCACTTAATTGCTTTAAATAACATTAATTTTGTCTGTGACACTGTGTCTTATTTTGTTATGCTTCTGCTCTGGGATGGCTTGGCTCATTTAGGCAGCTGGCTTGTTGGCTGGCTGGTGAGCTGGTAGCTGATGGTCTAGGATGGTTTCAGTGAGATGTCTGGCAGTTGGCATTAATGGTGGAGTCACTCGGCTGTGTGTCTTGGATCATCTGGCAGGCTGGTCAAGGCTTCTTCATGTAGAAAGTGTCACATTCCAAAAGAGAAAGCTGGGAGATACTTGAGGACTTAGCATGACACAGGTGCAATCTCACTTCTGCTAATTTTTTATTAGCTGGAGGATGTCACTGGCACGACCTACACTCAAGGGTGAAGGAAACAGACTCCACCTCTTGTGAGGAGGGGTTATAAAATACAAGGCAAATTTTACTATTTATCACAAGTTTTCTCATCCATTTTAAACAGATATTTCCCCCTAGACTACCTTTAGCATTTTATGTAGCCTTCAAAATATGTATCTTATGTCTGTGTCACCATTATAGTTGGAAGTGTAGTAACTTGCTTTGATTTCAGAGGCTCATAGCTAGAGGGGAATTTGTCTTAAGATGAATCGTGTCCTGATTTCACTACTGTGATTTAGATGAGACTCTGGTTATTTGTTTGTTTCTGGCAAGACTTTTTCCCAGTGTGTGTGTGTGTGTGTGTGTGTGTGTGTGTGTGTGTGTGTGTAGTGTCACATTAATTTAAGAAAATATTGGAATTCATTGTGCCTTTTACATATATTCATATAACACATTTGGATGCTACCCATCCCAACTCATCCCCTCCCCTAAACTCCTTCCTAACTTCTTCTACTTATCTAATAGTGTCATTCCTGCTTTCCTGACATTTGGATTTCTTTCTAGATTCCATGCACAAGGAAAGTTATTATGCAATGTTTCTTGTAAAACTCATGATTTTTGACTTTTGAGTGGATGCTGGCATAATTTAAGGCTTTTGGGCTATTGGAATAGAATAAATATTAATTTGCACGTGAATAGACATGGATTTGGGGAACTTGGAGCATTATGCTATGGAGTTCACATGTTGGAAATTTAATCCTGAACACAAAAGAGATGAGACCATGAAGAGGTAAATAGGTCATGGATCCTCTGCCCTCATGAATCGATTGACAGTGTTATCACAGGAATGGATTTCTCATCAAATGATGAGTTCACTTCTTTCCTTTCCCATGCAGTATCTTCTATCATATTATGGTGTAGCAAGATCTTCATAATAAGCTGCACATTGATCTTGGACTTCCCCACTTCCTCCAGAACTGTGAGTTTCTGTTCTTTATAAGTGACCCAATCTCGGATATCATTATAGCAGCACAAAGTGGACTACAACAAAGAGTGCATGGAAGGGGACCCCACTGATACCTGCACAACATGTCATCTGTCTGCCTTGCCTAAGATTCTGCTGGGCACTCAGAATGAATTCACTATGAATTAATACAGATTTGGATCTCTGAGCTCTCCTTCCAAGGAAGAGAAGCACTTGTGAGTGCCACTCAGAGTTCGTCCCAGGGAATGTGACACTCACATATATCCAGTCCCAGCCCACTGCTGGGAGACAGTTCTGTACGGGTTGCTTTATTTCTAGGTGTCTGCTGACTCAGTCATTCATGGTCTTATTCTCTTCTCAAAGACGTTTGCATATGAGCAACCTTGTAAGAGAGATAGTCTCCCCACTCCGAGCAGAAAGCATGACTGTTTACTGTCTGTCAAACACTGAGATGTCATCAGGCATAGTGGCACATGCCTGCAACCTCAGCATTCAGGCAGCTGAGGCAGGAGGATCACTGTGAGTGCAAGGCCAGCCTGGGCCACATGGCAATACTCTATTTTTAAAAAAACAAAATTCTGTGAAATGTCTGAAACTGTACCCTGCGTGTGAGCTAAGTTCATCTGTCACAAGTTCATGTAAAGTAAGATGCAACCAGGCTCACCGCTATGCTTTTGAACATTCCATTTCCCTTTACCTGTAACATGTATGGGCACTGGGCCATTCTGCTTTGTCCATTCTGGCATCCTAGTCAACTGTCCTCAAATAGGAATTATCAGGCTAGAGAATCACAAGACCTGACCTTCATGGTCAGAGGTCGGTGTTAACAAAAGGCTGACAGTGAACCAAGAGCTACTTTTCAGAGCCATGTTGGTAGCCACATCAGAGAGACCATGAGTCGGAAATTCCAAGTAATGTCTGTAAGTGAAGGTTGCTCCCCTTTGCCAGATGGTAAAACCATCAGTCACAAAGACTTACAGTTCACAGAGGTCACAGGGGATTATGGGTCCCAAAGATAAAATGAACATGCCACAGGTCTCTGAGAAACTTCTTCTACTGGCTGTTGGTTTGGCTTCCACTCAACCATGCTGATTTATGGGTTGGCTGGTATAAATGAGACAGTGGAATGCTCAAGGGAGTCACATATGTCCCAGTACCTTAAGATGCTAAGGAGATAGAGCAGTTTTTCTTCAATTTCCAGGAGGATTAAGCACTGTGAATTCTACCACATACCTTTGAAGAAACAGTTTGGCAGGCAGGATTCTGAGTTTTGTCAGCCACCCCAGATAGGAGAGGTACAATGACACTACAGCCAGGGCAGTGCGCAGTGAGGTCTCTGACTTGTCAGCCAACAATACGTAACCTAGAGGGGGAAATCTTTGAACAGGGGAGGAAAAAGGCACCCATTTTAAATCCTTAATCTGCCCCCTCCCGATGTTAGAGCAGGTGATGGGGCCTTTGTTGCCCTGGAACTTCCTGATGGGAAAAATTCTCTATTATGGAACACACCAGCACTGTAATTGCTATTACAGGATTATACATATCTTCCTTTTTCTCTTTTCCTAAGGTAATAGAAATTTCTGAGCCACTGAGCCCTAAGATGCTTAAGAAAAGATTTTTGCTAGCTATTTATGTCAGATTTATTTAATCCCTTTCTGGTATTTCACATAACTTACCTATAATATCTTATCAAACATAAAATCACATGATCCTCCAAAGTTGGGGAGGTATTAAAGACAACAAACCTGTGGCCAACTCTCTCAGGATGTATGAAGCAGCTCAGAGCATTAGGAAAGTGTTTTTATGACTCATAACTAGTTAGCCTGTTTGCTTAATCCAAAGACACCTGGACTAACCTTGTGTTCGATCCTTTTCTACTCCTCCAAAAATGATACTGTCCCATGCAGGTAGGTGTATGTTACCTACTACTGGGCACACTTGCCCAGTTTTTTGTCTTTGTTTCTTTATTTTATTTTAAAAAGTAAAACAGACACTTACCTGGCAGGGGAGACACCATGATCACGAAGGTAGTTTTCCCAGAGCGAGGCTCATCCATCGCACTGCGGATATGCTGACCCCTGCAATTTCCCCAAATGCAGGAAACTCGAGAGCATAATTTGTGGTAGTGGGCGACTGCGTTCGCCCTCTTCCCTGTTTAAAAAAAAAAGAAGTAGAACAGAAAAAAAGCTTACAAGTGGTACAGAATTTTTAAAAAATACTAGGCCAGTTTTTATGGCTCTTTAATTCTACTTCTTGTGTCAAATGAAATATAGTTGAAAGGCAAGAATTCTAGGTACAGTTTAATATAAAAATTTCTGGTTACTTTCCTTCTCTCTTCTTAAATGTCCCACATTTCCTTAGAACTGTGAGAATTCTGTGTGAATAAAGACCTCTGCAAGGAAGAGACTTTGTGCCATCCTAATTAGGGTCCAGCATCTTATCTACTGAGTTCCAAACTGCCTGGGACATCTGCCCTGCTTAGCATTACAGAGATTCCCCAAGTACTGGAAAACATGTTTCTAAATCACTCAAGTGGGCCCCCATAGCTGACTTTGTACCTTTTTCTTATTTGTGTGAAGATTTTGGCTGCCTGCTTATCACAATATATGTGCTAAGTTTCACCTTCCCTTAAATATGTAATCTAAATCACCTTTCCTGCTCAGTGGTTTGTTAAGATTTGGCCACCTGGAGGGACCTTAAAAAGATGATGTTCTAAAAATACTGAGCTTTCTGTCAGTTCCAGATTCCGCTCATGAGTCTGGGACTGGAAATTCCACAACTTAACATTTCAACAATAGTTCTTAATTATTTCAGAAGAACTAAGATACTCCAAGGAATGCAAAGACAAGTTCTTACATACATGATCCAGAGGTGGTGGGGACATGTGCATTTGAAATCACACAGGGCTGACTGTGGTCCAAGCCTTGGTAGAAGCACAGTTGGAGGGAAAGGACTCTAAAAAGTCCTGGAAGAACCACAGCAGATCAAACGTTGAGCGAAGACCACAAGGGCCAAAGTCCTTGGGTGAATGTCGACTTGTGTGCTCCAGGTACCAAGGCTGGGCTGAAAAAGAAGTCAAGGAACAGTCACAGTGCACTTTGAATGTTAACCTATAGGTTGTGACCCTTGTGATTTGCAATAGTGACTCATACAAGTTTTGTGCAAAAATGTATCTTTACCAGGCCCAAGACAGGATGTGTACGTGATCACAGAGGGGCGATTTCAAGTAGCAAAGCCCTGGAAACGGAGCTAAAAATCTGTGTAGAAAAGACACCTGGTAGAGGTGTAGAAAAGACACATGTGCTTGTCTTTAATGCAATGCCAGGCACTCATGACTTTTTCTTTTAAAACAGTTCCTCGGTTTCCCTTTTAAGAACCACATTTCTCCAGGTAATGTAGCTCAAGTGCTGTTGATTACACTCTTGGTTTCAGAGCTGGACCTGTGGCTTTACGACTCCAGAAAATCATTGTGGCCCCCTAACTTAAGTGATGGGTTCTGTAGTGAGAGTCATAAATAATAGAGGGATTATTCCTATTAGGTTGTCAAGCTTCACTTCAAAATCTAATTCTTTTGTGAGTAAAAGACCCATCACTTATAAAACAGGGAATCATAAAACCACAAGAAAAAGTCTTTAGTTCAGGAAACTGGCTTCAAATAAGAGTCTATCAGTCAGCTATTGCCATAATAATGTGGCATAAAAAGGCATTTCAAAAATCAGTGGCTTAAAATAGTTACCACTTTATTCTTGTTTTCTTTTCCATGAGGAGGCTGGAAGTCAGCTGAAATGGACTGACAGCTGCAGTTGCAACTTTGCCTTAATCTGTGTATTGGACTTTTCCAGATTCCCCACCATACATTTGAGTTGGGTCAGTTCTGTGCTTTATTCTAGGCTCCATAATGAGGCAATAGCTTCGCAGGGAAAGTTCTCATAGTAATGACACAAATGGAAGAAGAAAGACCCAAACGTGTGCATATACCAAGTCTTTGTTACTGGGCCAGACACAATTTCCTTTTAGACAAAAGCAGGATGCTTAGCTGAAACCAAAGCCATGATGCAGGGATATATGTTCGACCTATGTGAAACCAAAGCAAAATTCACATGGCCAAACCCAACCTCACTGGGAAAGGTTACTATATGCTGAATAAGATGATGAGAAGGAAACTAAGTGTTTCTGAACAAACATTTATTCCCATGCATCATTTTTACTACCTAGATAGCGATTTATCCAGAACTATAAAATAACTCAAAGAATGAAGAGATCATTCTAGAGGTCATCATGAGATAAGTCGCTCTCAAGTACCACTGGCTCAGCTTTGAACACAAAGTGATAATTCTCCAGAGGCCATATTAAAGTAAAAGTGACAGTGGGGCATACAATTAAGTGACACTGTCAATTAGAAGGCTGGGAATACTGACCTATAATCAGCTAGGAGAAAATGTATGCATTGAGAAGAAAGAGGCCAGAATATTACATTTAAACAGAGGGAAAGAAGTAACCAATCAGAAAGAGAGTAACAATAATTAGAGAACCAAAGCACTCAAGGGGAAAAACTACTGGAAGAAAAAACAGCTTTGAGATATTTGATGTAGTTGTAAAAGGTTAACATATTAAAGACTTTGAAAAGTTCAAAAGAATAAGAACTCAGAAAGCAACATTCTTAGTATTTGAAAGGTAGCCTTTCAATGCCCTTTAGAAAATAGCTGTACAGCAAATTGGGGTCAAGAAAATTACAAAGCACACGCGGAAAAATTGGAGTAAAGAAAGTATATAGTTACTGGAAATATCTTACATTTTCTTAAAACAGAATAAAACAAAACAAAACAGAACAAAGCAGATCAGAACAAAACACTGCAACCAACGTAGGATTTCAAAACAAGACAACAGGAAATCGGCAGTGCTGCTGTAACATGGGTGCACATACATCACTGTGATGTGATGTTTTCAGTTCTTCTGGGGAAATGTCCAGAAGCAGGATAGCTGGGTCAAATGGGATTTCCAATCCCAACTTTTTGAGGAAACTCCAGAAGGATTTTCACAGTGTTTGCACCAGTCTACACTCCCACCAACAATGCAGAAGAGTTCCTTTTCCCCCACAGCCTCTCCAGCATTTGTTGTCGGTGGTTTTCTTGATCCTGGCCATTGTTTTTGGAGTGAGATAAAATCTCAGTGTTGTTTTAATTTTCCATTTGCCATTTGATTTCTTCAGCTGAGACGTGTGTACTTATCTCACATGCCCATTTTTGATTTGGGTCTTTGAATTTCCAGGATCTGATTTTTTAAAAATTCTTTACATGTTCTAGGTAGAAGTTCTTTGTTTGAAGGACAGTTGGCTAATATTTTTTTCCCAGTTTGTGGGTTTTGATTTCACTCTATTGGAGATTTCTTTTGTTGATTCTGGGAAGTATTTCTGGTGCAGTTTGATTTCTGTTCATGAATTCTCTACCTACCCGTATGTCCTCAAGATTCTACCTAATTTGTTTTCCAGCAGATTTAGTGCTTCTGTTTCAATGTTTAGATCTCTGATCCATTTTGACTTTAGTTTAGTACACATTGATAAGCATGGGTCTAGTTTTAGTTTTCAGCAAATGGGAAGCCAGTTTTTTCAGCACTACTTATTAAAGAGGATATCTTTCTTTCAGAGAACATGTTTGGCCCCTTTGTCAAAGATAAGGTAGCTGAGTGTCTTTGTAGTTGTGGTTGTATCTTTTAATCTATTCCATTGGTCTTCAAGTCTGTTTTTATTCCATTACCACACTGATTTTATCACAGTAGCTTTGTAGTATAACTTCAAGTCAGGGATTATGATACCTCCTGCCTTGCCTTTGTGGCCCAGAATTGCCTTTGATAGTCTAGGTCTCTTCTAGTTTCAGATGAATTTTAGTAATGACTTCTCTAGATCTGTGAGGTATGTTAATGGTGTTTTGATTGGAATTGCATTAAATCTGTTTAACAATTTTGGGAGAATGGCCATTTTCACAATGTTGTTTCCTCCTATCCATGAACAAAAACTGTCTTTCCTTTTTCTGAGATCATCTTTGATTTCTTTTATCAGAGTATGGTAATTTTCACTGAATAGATCTTCTATTTCCTTTGTTTGATTGATTCCTAAGTATTTCATTTTTTTTGGACGCCATTGTGAAGGATGTGGTTTCTCTTATTTCTCAGTGAGTTTATTTTTTGTGTACAGAACTATGATTGATTTTTGAGTGTTGAATTTGTATCTAACTACAATAATATATTTGATTATTACATCTAGAAGTCTATCAATGGTGTTTTGGGGGTCTTCTATGTAGTGTATCATGTCATCTTCAAATAGTGATAATTTAACTTCTTTCTTTCCTATCCTTATTCCTTTTATTTCTCTCTAATTGCTCTGGCTAATGAATAGGACTGGTGATAATGGACATCCTTGTCTGCTTCCTGATTTTAGAGTAAAAGTTTTCAGCTCTTGACCATTTTTATATGATGCTGGCTGTTGGTTTGTCATAGATGTTTTTTTTCTTTTTTTTGTATCAGATTGAGGTAGAGACCATTGATTCCAATTTTCTGTAGAGTTCTTATCATGAATGAGTTTTGGAATTTATCAAAATCTTTTTCTGCATATATTGAGATGATCATGTTACTCTTCTCTTTGGCTCTATTGATATGGTGTATTATATTTATTGATTTGTATATACTGAACCATCTCTACATCCTGTGCAGTCCTTCAGCTCATGCACCATGGTGCACCAAGGATCCCCAGCTGTTTGAAAACACTGGGTGGGGCCCTACTGAGTTCCCAGCAAGGCGCCAACATTGCACAACTAGATGGAGTTTTCTGTACAGGCCTTTCTTTTAGTAAAAAATAGTGCTTTTAAAATAATGATAATATTCTTAGAAAATATTATTTATGCATAAATATGATATCTTTTTGTATGTGTGTCATGAAATTCATTTAAGCATTTCCTTTTGATGAGGTAATTAAATTCTTTACTTTGTCTTGCTAATGTGTAAAGCCCTATTATATATTCCTTATTAAAAAGTAGCCCATATTTCTGCCATTTGTTTAGGGAAAAGTCCCTAGAAAATGTATTATTTGATCAAAGTTTATGAGTATGTTAGACTCAATCCTTCATAAAATATTTAAAGTAATTTAAATTCTCAGTACAGTGTAAGCCTGAAAGTGCCTATGTGGGTTACTTTTTCCTTCTTGCTGGGACAAAATTACCTGACACCTAAAATGCTGGAAGGAAAGGCTTAGTTTACAGTTTTTTGGAGGTTTCAGACCATACACTCAGTTAGTTCCAAAGTAGGGTGACATGGCTAACAGGCAACCATTCATGGCATTCACAAGTGACAAGAGAAAAAAGGGGAGAAGGACAATCATGACTCCTTCCACCCTTATATTTCATGTCAGCTACCCACCCCTAGAGGCGGATGCAGCGCTCACATCACCAATTCTACTGCTAGACAAAAAATCAATCACAAATGCTAGATTCAGTTGCCTCCATGACAGCATGAGGCTTTTGGGGGAGGCACGCAGACACAAACCATAATATTTCACCCCTGGCCTGCAAAAGACTCATGTTACATTTTTAATGTAAAAGATATTTAGTCCATTTCCAAGAGCTGCCAAAATCCTAACAGTTTCAGCATTGCTGAAAAGTTTAAGTCCCAAATCTCCTCTGAGATCTAAGGCAAAGTTTTAGTTATAACTCCCTGTACAAATGAAAACAAAGTTAAACTTTTGACATGTAATAGTACTATTTTAAAGGGTACAAACAGGAGGATAAAAGGGAATGGGACAAATGAAGTCCAAAATCCAGCAGGGCAAACATTAAGTCCTGGAATTTTATGCTCAGTATTGAAGTAATTTAGTTGTGAGCTCTAAAAGGCTTGAGTGATTTCACTCCCATGGCACTTTCGGTGATTGTAGCTCCCATGGCTTCTTTCTTGGCCTGGCTTTGTTCCATCCTGTAGGTTTTCTTAGATGACTGATACACCTGGCTTTTTTAAACTTCTAAGTTCTCCATTGCACCTTTAACTTCACACTCACAGCTTCACACACTGCCCTCTCAGGG